AACACCCCCTATGCCGATCTGCTAGCCTGCATAAAAACACCCCTTATGCCAGTCTGCTAGCGTGCATAAGACCACCCCTAATGGGAGTATAATGTTTTGCTCTACCGAATAATCGGTAAGTTTCCAAATACTTGTGAAAAACTTGCTTGCAAGTGATTCAAGTGGGAATCGAACCCACAACCTCCAGATAGCTAGCCTGGTGTTATAACCACTAGACCACCGAGCTTATGCTCAGTGACTAGTGTTGAATCTGATCCCCAAGCAGCACAGGGTACTGCAATGGTATTTCGATGTGTGTTTGTATCGCGGAAATGTCGTAGGAGTGATGTTTTGCCCTACCTGACGTGTTATTGTACTGAATATTTAGTACGTTCCTAAATACTTGCGAAAAAACTCCCTTATGCTGGTCGGCCAGCCTGGTTAAGAACATCCTGTGCCTGCTTGAAAAAAAGGTTTGTAACAGTTGTACTATACTGGTCAAAGTACTGAAGATAGTGGCACACAATTAACACCCTTTCGCCGGTCTGCTAGTCTGCATGAAGAGCAATCTGTACAGTACTGTCTAAAAGACGTGGCTGGTTGCATCTTACCAAATATCCATCCAAATCTATCTAAAGATAAAGAGCATGGTGAATATATTTATATATAAATATATATTTTATTCATTTGTGGTAGAATCATAGGAATGTTAACTATATCTACTGTATTTTTAAATTCAATTTGGTTGTCTACCCTGAAAAGAATCTTCCAAGAATCACTACACAATGAAGACGCTTGCTCGGCAATTTCACTATTTAATCGAAATTATCGTAATCAACCGACATGGATTTTTACCAGAGTGAGACATTCTAGAAACTTATGTAACTTGAGAGGAATCTTATAGAGTTGTCCTCTAATGAAATATATAATAATAATAATACCTTAGAGCTATATATTTAGCATTGTTTTTATCCCGCAGCTAGCCATAAGTTCAAATCATGAAAGTACCAGATGTATCTACTCCACAAGTATCAAAATGAGACTACAGAGGGCGCTAATGTACAACATAGCAGTGTGATTGCAATCGTATAGTGTGCATGTAGTGATATTATTTTATTTATTTATTATTATTCAGTATTAGATTAATTAATACTTTAAATAAAATTATGATAGATCTGTGTTGTTTGTTTTAATTCCCACAGTTTGTATTTGAATTACGGTAGAACCGAGGGTTATGGTATAATGTGTATATAAAATTAAACACTTTAAAATCAGCTTACGATTCAGTACTTATAATGTCTTTTTTTTTGTGTACATATCAACACTTTCAGTTTTTAAATTGTAATATGCACCCTTTATTGATAATCATTTATTAATAATTATAATGAAAGTACATTTTGTTGAGATTTTAAGTGCAATTTTTTCACTGTATGTATGTGTAATCCAATCAGTTTATTTAAAAATGATGGTAACTTAGGTCAATTGTTTTTATCTAATGCAGGAAATTACATTTTATATCTTTTTTTGTTATCATACTTATGATCATACTTGGGTAGTTTTTGTATGAATGTGGATATAGCTACCATGTGGAACAACATAGTTACCAAAATACCTCGATGGATGGTGTATTATGAATATGGATGTGCTTACCATGTGCAACTCCAAGACACCTGGCTCAGTTTGTAGTTTTGATATGTATTGCTTTAGTTGGAACAATTACAGAATTGAAATGTTGATAATTGATTTACAATATGAAAGAGTTGCTACTCTATCAACAAGTAGTAAATAGTATTTGATTTTTAGGCAGAAGCTCGATATAACCTGGTAAATGGTAATAGCAAAAATGAAAAAGTGAAAAAAAAGAAAGAATCGCCTCAAATAGAACTCAATTTTTGGTCTCGTGCTTCATGAATTTGAATGCAAATAAAATCAGTTCTTTTCACTCTCTTGTAAGAAAGCGAACAGAACTAGTTCTTAATGCAACAAACAAAGATCAATATGATACACCCTCATCTTAAAGGCAGGCTTCTTTAATGCAACAAAGATCAATATGATACACCGTCATCTTAAAGGCAGGCTTCCTTTATGCAACAAACTGATTAACTCGGAAACTGTTAATGAGATACAGATTTTTGAATATTTAAGAATTGGGGGAAAAGGGACATAACCACACCTTTCCCAGTTTTATATACTTGTATTCTAATGAGAAGACCGGATTAATAATGCATAATTTTTTTTTTTGTTTTTTAAGGCATATTTCAGTTGTATTTTTTGTTATGCTATATTTCTTGGACAAGTTGTCTCCTCTATTTCTCATGTATTCTTTTCAATCAATGTGTGATGTAAATTAAATTATGAACTCAAACACAAACGAAACAAGCTGAATGTAAACTATTTGCCCTATATATGATAGGATAAAGTATGTCAACTCACAAAGTGATCAAATAGTGTTGCTCTTCTAAGAACTTCTAAGAAGATTATATGTTCGTATGTATAATATATCTACTATTGAGAATATTAAGTATATTTCTGTCAATAAAGCAAATATACACATTTTGATGTGTCTTACAAAATCAATTGTTGAAATCAATGTGATTGGGTATTTGTAACTATAGTAACTGTCATGTGGTCAGTTATATATTACCAAATAATTGAAAATAAAATAGTATAGCTAGAGAAGTCGTCTATTTTTTGAATTTGTGGTATAACAGCAATACAGCAGTTCATTTTTTTGATATGATAAAATGATGATGATGATGATAATGAGGATGATGATGATGAGGATCATAATGTAAATAGCAAGTGTGTGAAATAAAAAACAATGGAAAAGATTAAAAGAAAACAAAAAGAAAAGGAAAAAAAAAAAAAAAAAATAAGATGATGATATATATTAAAATGCAGTATGGCGGTGTATTTTTTTTATTATTAATCTAATATCAAAAATATAAGTTATTGTAATTTTATTCCATTTTAAACAAACATAACATACAGTTATTAGGCCTACCATTTACATAATTTGTGAAAATAAGAATATTAGATGAATGGAAAAACAGTATAAGCAAGTTTTTCGTCTTATTTTGTCTAAAGGAAAAATTAAAAGAAAACAAAAAGAAAAGGAAAAAAAAAAAAAAATAAGATGATGATATATATTAAAATGCAGTATGGCGGTGTATTTTTTTTATTATTAATCTAATATCAAAAATATAAGTTATTGTAATTTTATTCCATTTTAAACAAACATAACATACAGTTATTAGGCCTACCATTTACATAATTTGTGAAAATAAGAATATTAGATGAATGGAAAAACAGTATAAGCAAGTTTTTCGTCTTATTTTGTCTATGTTTCTTTTCTAAATTATAAAACAAATATTAATTGGAAAATTTATTATATACAGTGTATATTATAAGACACTTATTCCTGAAAATTACATCATGGTTATCAAACGTTGGTGGCGCAGTTAATCTATCTATTTCCCCGACAGCTGTATATATGTTCCTTATTTGTATCGTGACATTAAACTATACGGCAGTTGGTTAATTAGAAGGAAAGTACATGTGTGCTGCTCAGTGGTAACAGGCCGCGAAATGTCCAAAAGAAAATCCTTTTTTGCTGATGAATTCGCAGCTTTGAGCAACCCAACGCCAGAATTCAAAGATCCAGAAGAAGAAGAGCATATCTGTAAGTCAAACCGATTAAAACCTTTAATTTTATATAATGCTAGGCTCACAAAAGTGGCCTACTCTTGGCTAAGGCCTTGGCTAGTGTAGTAGGGGCATTGCCATTGGCGAAACATGAGTTTATCCGTCCAGTCGAATCGAGCTTAAGTAGGCCTAGACCTAGCTCTCTCTGTAGACCAGGCATAGTCTAGTGCGTACGCGACGGAATTACAAGGAATGAGCTCACCGTGACGTGTGTTTATGACTTGTATGTATATATATATATATTACTTCACTCTTTTCCCAGGACAAGAAAGTAAAATACAATTATTTTTTTATGATTAAAAATTGACAAATTGAAATAAAGAAGCCTAATAAACAAGAAATCTTTTTTTGCTGTACACGATTATACCATAGAGGTATAAAAATTATACATCAAAAAGGTTAAATCTCTTTAATAGCACGCTAATTTGATTGTGTGTGCTATTTCATTTTTGTATCTATAGGCCTATTAGACCATTAAATCGGGATTATTTTGGAACATCACCACCAACATCTCACAACTTACTGGGGGACTTCCAGTGGCCTAGCCTGAGCAGCTTGCTAGTTGCAAATGGAGCACAGCGAAGCCGATCGCGCCGCTAGCCCTTTGCAATAGCAGTAGTAGATCATACTAATCAGGGGCGGATCCAGAGATGTCCAAAAAGGGGGGGGGCGAAAGATGGACCGATCGAGACAACACTGACTGAATTTTTGTGTTCTAGACGCCCGAACATTTGAGGCTTTCTGGGCTTTTTTCTTTTCCTTTCTTTTTTACTTTTTCTTGCCTCCCAAAAGGGGGGGGGGGTGCGCGGACCGGGTCCCCCCCCAAATCCGCCCCTGCTAATTACTGTATATGTAAACATTGAAATAGCTTTTAAGTCTTAAAAACTTGTTTTTAATATGAATATTTTGTCCTTTTTTATCATTTTAAAATATTCGTGCTCAATAGTATTATAGATTTATCGTTCGATTATTCTATGACGGTAACTACTTACAGTGAAATGCTAGGCCTCTGGAAGTCCCCCAATGGTGGATTGCCAGGTTATCAGAAATTTTCATTTCAAATTTGCCGAAAATGGTGTATTCAAACAAGATATAGAATGTACAGAATTAAGCACTCACTGCATCGATGACCAGCATACGACGACTCCAATTCCACTCCCTGAGATCGCTAGACGATGCAACACTGACTGCTATTTGTCGGCGGCAGTCTGAATTTATTGTCATTAAAATTAATCTGTTGCGCGCATGTCATTGGGTTGTGTTCATCATAGAATCGCATCGGTTGATGACCGTCAGGGTCAGGCCTGGCTATGTTATAGTACAAATAATTATAGGCCATGGATAACTATCATATACCTGTAGTGTACTAAAGGATTCTTATTTGAGAGAAGAAAATCAAATGGATGTACTGTAAGCAGTCAAAAAGTGAAACTGTACAACATGCTCCACCTTTGTTCGTCATTGTTTGGTTTAATTTTTAAAATACTACCATAATTTGAATTTTTGTATGTTTCTGTTAAAAATTATATATTTCTGCTCCACTTTTAGAGATTTTTATTAAAATATTGAAATTAAAATAAATTGAAATTAAATATGCATGACAGAAAACGGAAAAAATTTACCTCTTGGCAAAGGCTTATGCAATGAAAGTGATATTTTAAGTTTACTATTTTTTAAATAATATATTATAAGATACGAGAGCACAGTTAGATGACCAATATGATGAAGATGAAGAAACTGAAGTAATTGCACAGTCGAGCTCTTTACGGAGGAAGAACGCAAGCCTTTTAGTCTCTACTGACAAGAAGTATTCTGGAAAAACAGTTTCAAGAAAGGATTTACAGAAGGATTCAGATGAGTCAACTGATGGTAAGCTAAATAAAAAAAAAAACCCAGTGACTATTGTTACACACCAGTTTTAAACCAATTCTTAAATGTGATTGGATGTTATTATCTTACTTCAATCCATACATACAATAACATTCAATCAGAATTAAGAGAACTTGGTTTAAGACTGGTGTACCAATAGCCAATGCCTATATAAAAAAAAAATGAGCATACCATGGAATATTATTGTTTCATGGTCTTGATAAATTTTTAAAAAATGCATAGGAGGTGGAGGGATACCAAAATAATATTTTCATGGAAAGAAGTTAGATTCAGGTACTTGGTAGATAAACAAACACAGCATTATTAAGATATTGAAGGCTCCACTTTGCATGCCTAGTTTTGTATCTTGTTTTGCAGGTCTCCCTCTAATTTAGGACCACCTGGGACCTAGGTTTTAGTGGTCTTTAGCAGCTTCGGTCTATAATTAGATTTCCTATAGTTAAAGACTGGCACTAAAAGTGGTCCTTAAAATCTCTGTTTAGAGGGAAATTAAGAAATATTATACAGTAGTAAATGTAAGATTGTTTTATTAACCTTCCCAAAAAAGCAAAGGTTTTTGGAGGCTATTGCTGTTACCCGCATGTTGTTCTTCATGTTGTTGTCATCATCGTTGTTGGGTAGATATGTTTGGAAATAAACTGTTTTTATTTTAATAACTTCATGAAACTGTTACATTCTTTGACACATTTAATGTATTTGATTTATCGACAGATACTGATGAAAGTATTAATAGCGATTCTTTTCCCGCATCGTTCGAGGTTGAGTTCACAGAAAATGATGACATCACAAAACCTGTTCAAAAGAAAAATACAAGTATACATTCAAAAGCTGACAGACAGAAGGCTTTGCAAATGTTTACAGAAGAATTAGATGATGAGGAAAATGATGCAGATACTGGTAGTGATGAAGATATAGATGGTAGTGATGAAGATATAGATGATAGTGATGGAGATGAAGTTGCTAGTGATGAAAATGAAAACTATAGTGATGAAGATGAAGTCGATAGTGATGAAAATGAAGTCAATAGTGATGAAAATGAAGTCGATAGTGATGAAAATGAAGTCGATAGTGATGAAAATGAAGTCGATAGCGATAAAGATGTAAAATCTGAAGGTAAAGTGATTTTCACATTTTATTCTGTTATCTAATCAAATATACAGACCATAAAAAAGAAATAAAAATTGTACACAAAATGGCATTGTAGAAAATACCGTTGCATATATAATTTGTAAATATTTGAGTAATGGTATATATCTATATCTATATAGTTATCTCTGTCTCTAGTCTATAAAATAAATGGCTTATTTATTTCCTTAACTATACAGACTAAATCTAGATTTACTAATGCTATGTACATTTTATGTGACAAATTTGTGTGCTGTGCTCATATATGGACATAATGGTGTTACATTACACCCAAATATGGGCATATCACGTTTATTTGTTTGTTTATGTTATCTCGTGCTTGCAACAATAATCTTAGTCGCTCATAATTAGGTTCTGATGATAATAATCAGGGGCGGATTTGGTGGTGGGCCCCCCCCCCCTTTGGAAGGTAAAGAAAAAGAAAAAATGATAGCCCGTCTAGAACACAAAAATCACCCTGGGACAGTGTTGTCTCGATCGGCCCAACTTTCGGCCCCCCTTTCAACCCCCCTTTGGACATCTCTGGATCCACCCCGATAATAATAATAATAATAATAATAATAATAATAACTTCTGGACCTCCAAGAAATACTTTTAGTGCAAAATCCTGAGAGCAAACATGTGATTCAGGGTGGAAAACCCCAACCTACAGCTGAGTAAGATTTTAAACTTATATTTTTAAAACTATAAGCTGTTCGATGTAAAACCCTATCTTTTAATTAAACATTATCTATATTTTTTATAAATTGTAATAAATTTTAAATTTTGTATATACTTTAAAGTGATGATGATGAAGAAATTCCAAGTGATGACGAGGAAATTCCAAGTGAGGATGAAGATGTACAGATTACCAAAGAGAATGATCAGGAGGATGTGTCAAGTGTGGAAGATGATGGAACAAATGTACCGCCCTCTAAAAGAGAGAAAAGAAAACTGCAGAATTATGAAGAAATTGTTGCAAAAAGGCATAAAAACTTCCATGAATTCAAAAATATGACGTTACAGAAATGGCATGATAAAACAAAGATAGCCTCAGGGAAGATAAATAGCAAAGTGAGTGATAAAAGTCAATAATTCTGATAAAAAAAACCCCCCAAAAAAAACAAAAAACAATCAATTAAAAAAGTTTAAATAATATGAAAATAATTATTCTTAAATCATTTGCAGCGTAGCACAAAGAGAGGGCGCTTCTGTACCTAAGATTAGGCACTGAAAACAAACAGTAAATGATTGCAGCAGCAAGACGCAAACAGCGAGAGCAAATGCAGTAGCAGCGATGGCGGCAGTGGTCACGTGGCCAAACCTGGCCAAACAAAACAAAACTCATATTTTAAAGTAAACTTTTCAAGAAACTGAGAAAGGTCACTCGACAGACTGTCACGAATATGTAAAGCCATGTCATTCCATGTCCTAAAGTATATAAAAATAGAAAATTTGCATCGGTACACTGATGAAAGAATTGATCCAAATGAGGACAATAGACGGATTCGGCGATGTTTGTTTACAGGCGGTCATGTGACATAACTTGGGTATACATGAAAAACATTACAGTGCGATAGTATAGGAAAAGATAATGTTATGGTTGCAAAAACAACCACCCACTGTTAACATGAGAAATAAATGGCTAGGAAAGGTAATACGATTGTTCAAAAATGTGTTTATCTACTTATCATAGCGTTCTCCAAATATTGTATGCTTTGAAATTTAAGTGATCCTTGATCAACTTTAGCTAGCCCTAACATTGCAGCTTGGTTGGCGGGTCGAAGACCATCATGCATACCTAACTAAGCCTTAGATGTGCATTGGCCTAGGCCTAACATTTGTCGGAAAATCTCAATGTTCGCGGTCAGTATCCCTTACAACATTAGCAAACCATTAAGGCAAAATTCTCAAGTCTAATTTCCAATCAATTTGTTATAATTTACTTGGAATTATGATGATCTCTTAATAGCAATATACAAGGGATGGGCACAATAGCAATCTCCATGTAAAACACCGATGTGGTAGTCGATTGTTTATATCCAACACCCACATTAGGTCATGTGATGCCCATCGCTGAATCCCTCTTGATTACCAGATGCATGCATGTTAGCTGTCATGTTTCCAATTGTAATTATTTTCAACAAGTGTACAATTTTTGAAACTACAGTACCCCTAAATGTGATGATCAATACGGTATATGTATAAAAACTTAAAATTGAAGAAATTAAGTATGATTTTTGTGTGTTTTTGTTTTTTCAGTCATTTAGTTCATTTGATCGATCAGTATTGAAACAAATTGATCAGATACTTGTTGATCAGGATCGACTTTTGAAGAGAACACAGCTTAAGAGATCGGTGTACAATGTAGTTGGAAAGCAAGAACACGTTGAAGACACAGAGGAAGATGAAAGCAATGGTGTAAGTTATAATTTAAAATCCTTTTTTATTATTAGATAAGTAAAATATTGTTGTATGTTGTTTTATTACACAATGGTATTGATTTTGCATTAAATCAATGTTGATGTAGCTTAATTGTTGGTGAATAATTTCAAATATATTCCCGTCGGATTATTTTATTATATTCGCATAGGATAATTTCAGATATATTCGCACAGGATAATTTTAGATATATTCCTATAGAATAGTTTCAGATATATTCGCTCAGGATAATTTCAGATATATTCCCATAGGACTATAGCCATAGGATAATTATAGATATATTCCCATAGGATAATTTCAGATATATTTGCACAGGATAATTTCAGATATATTCCCATAGGATAATTTCAGGTATATTTGCATAGGATAATTTCAGATATATTCCCATAGGATAATTTCAGGTATATTTGCAAAGGATAATATAAGATATATTTGCATAGGATAATTTCAGATATATTCCCATAAGATAATTTCAGATAAATTTTCCTAGGATAATATCAAATTTATTCCCATAGGATAATTTCAGATACATTTGTACAGGATAATTTCAGATATATTTCCATATGATAATTTCAGATATATTTGCACAGGAAAATTTCAGATATATTTGCATAGGATAATTTCAGATATATTCCCATAGGATAATTTCAGGTATATTTGAAAAGGATTTTTTTTTTCTCTTTCGTGGCGTAACCACCACATTTATTTCACCAATCTTCATTAAAAAGGAACAATACAATATTTCTTTTTTTTCCCAAGTTCTTTTCATTCCCCTTTTTTTAAAAATATTTATATAATTCAATGACAACAGTACTATAAAATTATTATTATTTTTATAATCAGTTTTAACCAGAGAAAACATCAATAGTAAATATTGATAAAAAAACCAAAGTGTGTGTGTGTATATATATATATATATATATATGAAGAAGGCGTGTCCACGTGTGTTTCGAAACATATGTAGAATATAATATAACGTAACAGTAAAGAAACTCAAATACGTAAGATGTTGAC